AAGTTACATTACAATTTCGTAAGTTACAATGTAATTTACATGAAACGTAACAAAGTAATTTATGTAATACATCCCTACTTACGTTGCACCTTTCCATGTTACCAATGTAACACTATAGTTTTAAATAAAATACGGCCCAACTTTAGAATATTCATAGTGTTCGTTTCATATAAATATATCGTTATCATTATAACGTCCGACTGAGAAGTATATCCTAAAAACAGTAATACTGTACCATGTACTGTATTGCTATTCACAGTATATAGTGTATCGATATTATATAATCTAAACTATTCTGTCTTAAAATTTGTTTATTGCTTAAAAAAATACGTAATATCGTTTGTTGAAATAAGATGGCAGGAGGAAAAAAGTTCAAGCCAAAAGAACCATATACTCATCGCTTAAAAAAGATTCTCGAAGAATATCCTGACAGCTCACAAGTTCTCCGTGAAATCTTACAGAATTCGGATGACGCACAAAGTACAGAACAAGTATTTATACTTGACCATAATACTTATCGTATTGAGAGTCTTCTTATGCCTGGACTTAATAGATTCCAAGGACCTGCATTATTGTCGAAAAATAACACCAAATTTAATGATGATGATTTTACATCATTGGAGAATTTAGCTGACAGCGAAAAACAAGGCCAATATGATAAAATTGGAGAAATGGGTGTCGGTTTTAATTCTATTTACCATTTATGTGACAGTTGTTCATTCATCACTAATGATAATTTTGTAATTCTTGACCCTCATGAGTGGTGCTATGAGGGAGGACATGTATATGACAATTTTATTGAAGATAACTTATCTCAAGAATATCCAGATCAATTTTATCCTTTCAAAAATCTTGGAAAACTTAGTATTCCTTGTGATGGTTCATTTCAAGGCACAATATTTCGATATCCTTTGCGTACTAAAAAAGGTTCTAAAGAATCAAAAATCTCAAAAACAACATATCAACCAGATCAAGTTTTAGAAATGTTTAAAACATTTTTCGAAAAGGATAGCGTTAATTGTTTACTTTTTCTTAGATACATTGAATATATTGAATTTTACGAATTGAAGATAGGAGAAACTGAGCCCGAGTTAATTTACAGGATTTCACTGAAAGATGCAAGAAAAATACGCAAAGAGCGTCAAATGATCGTTAAGAAAATCGCTCCAATGATGAAGGATCTTAAAGAAAATAAACTTGAACAACAAAGAACAACATTATACACATCATACCGTGTATCTCTTGTTCAATGTGAAAGAGGGGTTGTTGTAGAAGATTCCTCATGGTTCATTGTGAATATGCTTGGTGATTTACATGACGCAAATCGCAAATTTCCAGATGACTTTGGAGAAAGACTCGGTACTGTACCAATTGTAGGGTTAGCCACAAAATTAAATTTAGGTCAAAATGGAGATAAACTTCATGGAGGATTATTCTGCTTTTTCCCTCTCCATATTGATACTCCTTTTCGAGTTTCCATAAATGGACATTTTGCGGTAAGCTAGCCTATTTTGTTGACAAAAATATTTGCAATTAAAAATAAGGTTAAATCAATTTTTAACGTTGAATGCAATAGGTTACCAATAACAGACGTAATTTATGGTCTGGAATAGATAAAGATTTGGTAAGCTTAATTTATTGCTATGGCTACTAGTACTAGTTACGTATTAAACACTCGTGTAAATGCTTATTTTGGTTTAGGCCATTAATTCTTTGGCAAATTTGAAAGTTAAATGGAATCATTATCTTTTCGAAAAGGTATTTAATTATTTTCAAATCATTGATAATTAGATAAACTATAAAAACGAAATTAATTCATGGTGTAAAAAAAAAAAAATTCAGACTATACCACAAGCTTGGGTTAAATTTCTTATTGAGCTTCGACCGTATGTGTCTCCGGAAGATTATTATAAGTTTTGGCCAATTTGGCCCCAGTTCAGTTTATTTCATCCAGTTTCTTCAAAAACCTTTTAGAAAATATGATAAGCAATCTTAATGCAGACGATAAAATTTTCTGCGGGCCTAATAAAATGTTATCAATTTTAACGGGATACTTTCAAGAAGAATCGTATGACGAATCTATTCCAAATATATTGAACAAGATTAAATTTTCAATTATTTTAGCCCCCCCCTGAAATCATTAAAACATTAAAAAAATCTGGCAGGCATTCTCCCAGGTTCTATTCTCCTAGTATTGTGAGCCAGTTTCTTAAACAAAATAAAGACAAATGGGAAGATAAGCTGACAAGACAAGAAACCTTTGAATTGTTCAATTATTTACTGAATGATGAAAATGATGAGATATTAGAAGGTTTGAAAATGATTCCATTGGCCAACGGAACATTTAAAACAATATCAATATATCAACGCGGCACAATCACGTATATATGTCCAGACAGCCTTACGGGTGATGATGAAAATGATCCGCGCGAAATTTTTAAAGATCAATTAGACAAGTTGATCGCTAAAGACATCCCATGTAGTTTACTAAGTCGTTTGTGCGATAAAGTAACAACAGAAAGATGGAATTTTAATATCGAGATGTTAACTGCACCAATCATTGCTAATATGGCTAAAAATTATCTAAATCATCCCAATTCTAATAAGGATGAAATTGATATGGAAACCCGGTTTGAATGGATTAATCAACTTTGGAATTATTTATGTAACAAGTTTAATGAAAAGGATCTGATTTCATTTGAAGACATTCATCTTATACCAACAAAACAAAATACTCTCAGAAAACTTAAGACGGGTCAAATAAAATATTTTTGGAATAGTACTGAGGGATTACAGAACTCTTTTGATCAAATAAATTCTATTCTTGAAAAGCTTGGCGTAATTTTCGTAAATAGAGAATTTGAAGACAATATAGCATGTTTAAAGATAAGGTGCGTGTTGAAATATTTACTATATACCATCCTTATGATTTAACAATTTATTTTGTTAATAACATTTTCACTAACTACCAATAGGCTCTCAGCATACATTTGCAATATAAGCGACATAGAATCAGTTTTATCATCATTAAATACCGATGAAGCGTATAATTTAGACCCGCCTGAAGCAGAACTTTTCATAAAATATTTATCTCATTACTTATATATTACTCCACCACTTACAAAGGATCACATTGAAATTATCAAACGTTTACCAATTTTTAAAGAAGTTGACAAAGATGAGATTATTAGTCTAAGGTTCAATGAGCAAGTATCTGTGTTCCTTTTACCGAGAACAGATGAAAAAGAATATGGTCAAATAATTGCACCGAAGAAATTTAGATTTCTTGATGCAACATCAACAGATACATGTTATTTACTGGAGAAAATTATCAAAATTCAGCGTTTGTCGCAAGCTCAATATTGGTTATATTGTGTGATACCGTACTTGAAAGACTTAAGTGCGGATATTGTGGTTGAAAAGCTTTTTGAACGACTGCCAACCCTTTTTAGGCTAGACAGTTCACTAAATGGCAAATTGAGCAAACTTTCTATTGTGCCTTGCGGGACAATCCGGATGGTTCAGGGAGAAGAAAATCTTGACACAATTAAGTGTAAGCCCATTGATCTCTATGATCCCTTGAACCCTAAAATTGCTCAATTATTTTTCGATGATGAAAAAGTTTTCCCAGTAGAAAAGTTCTCGAATCCAGATGATCTATATTATCACCTTTTGAAAAGGTTAGGAATTAAAACTTCGCTTTCATCAATAGATATAATCAAGCGAATTGAAACATATGTCAAACGTCAGAAAATGGGAAATAATATCAATGAAGTGTATAATAAATCACTTAACCTGCTTATTTATATCGATGAAAATTGGATTTCATTAAGTGACAAAAATAAAGAATTTTTATCAATGATTGCTTCAAAATGGATTCCGACTATTAATAAATGTGGTAATAAGTCATTTTCTTGTTCGTCCGAATGTCGTGACAAAAAAGATGAGTACTTAGTATCATTAGCCCTCCCAATTCTCGATTATAAAATCACGAGTGCTCTATTTCGCGAACATTTGGAATGGAAAAGATATCCTTGTGTAAAAACCGTTCTTTCGCAAATGAAATTATGCTCCACAATGCCTAAGGACAATTTAAATATTAAAAATCAACCAAGAATTTGCGAAGCAATTTACAAATATATTGATGAGGCTCTGTCAGCCAGCGATGAACAGTCTAAGCAAGAGGTGAAAGAATTAAGGGAAGGGTTAAAAAATATAAAGTGGATCTTTTGTGAAGGTGATTTCTATGCAACCAAGAATGTTGTTTTTGATCTTTCGACGAATTTTGGAAAAGAGCTACCAATTGTTCAACTGCCTTCTGATTATCGAAATAACTTTAGTAAAGTGTTTAAATCTATGGGTGTCCGAGAAAAAGTTGATATCTCCGATTTCATTGATATAATCGGAGAAATTGCTCGTGAAGCAGATAATAAACCACTAACTGATAAAATTTTATCCAAAACTATTAAAATTCTTGATCAAATTGGAAAGGAATGCAATAAGTTTAAAAAGGAGGGAAACCCTAATGATTGGAAAAATTTGTTTATTCCAAGCACTGATGCCATTCTTGTCAGCTTCGAAGAAATCAAATTTGATGACAGGGTTGGGATAAGTAATGAAGAAAAGGAAAATTGCAAACTTTCTCATTCTAAAATATCAATTGCACTTGCTAAGGAACTTGGAATTCAAATGCTTTCTGAAATGTTCACCAAAGGCAGTGAGATTGATTTCGAAGATTATGAACAATCGGAACCTTTAACTACTAGGATAAAATCGATTATTAGTGTAAACATTAACTTACTTTAAATTATAAACCGTTGTTTCCTTATAAATTAACATATTGAAATTTTTATTAATGTCTAGAATTGTTCACTTGATTCCTTGTTCAAAGAATTTCTTCAGGTAATATATAGAATATGCCTCTTTTTCTAATATTTGTATATATAACCCATGTATTTATTATTATACTGCATTTATTCATCAGAACGCTGATGACGCGGGAGCACGTAGATTTTCTATTTATATTGATGAAAGACCATTTCATGAGAATGATCATTCCTCACTCTTGTCTGAAGAAATGTATAATTGGCAAGGACCAGCTGTTTGGATTTATAATGATGCGACATTTGATGATAAAGATTTTTCTGCATTAATTAAACTTGGTGTCGGGAGCAAATCCAGCGATGAGAGCAAAATAGGTCGCTTTGGCATCGGAATTACCACTTCTTACCATTTAACTGATGTTTTATCTTTTGTGAGTGGAGAACAAATTGCCTTTCTTGATCCTCACGCGAAGTTTCTTCCGATACGTGGAAATTCTCCCAAACGACCTCGAGGAATTAAGTTAAATTTTCTTGAAAAAAAAATTTCTAACTCGTTTTAAGGATCAATGTAGACCATATCTTGCTATAGAAGATTGTAATTTTAACAAATCATTTAATGGAACCTTGTTCAGACTGCCGCTTAGAAGTATTGAGTTATCAAAAAAAAGCTTAATCTCACGAAATTCAGTTAATCCTAAGGATATTTTAGAATACCTTCGTAAAATAAAAGGTATCGATGAGATTCTTTTTTTAAGAAACATCGGAATATATAGCATATATCATATAGATAAAGATAAACACGTACCACAATTAATCTGGGAAACAAAAATCCAAAATTTAAAAGATATCGAAAATATTCGCAGCAAAGTTGATTATAACCCACAAATTTTTCAATTTAATACCGACACAAAAATATATGATGCACAAAAGGAAAAGACAATTTCTGAAATGTGGCTCGTGTGCACAGGTGGAAATACCGAAATCACAGATACGGCATTATCCAATTTCTCAAAAGATGAGCGACTTACTGTACGCATGATCTGAAGTTTCATTATTCTATTTGTTGCATAATGTAACCAATATTAATTCGTAATTCTTTCCTAAGGCACATGGTGGTGTCGCAGCTATTCTTGCACGGTCAGATAATGAATCTTTAAATAATCCTTTAGATGTAATATAACTCAGATATGTGTGCGCAATTCATATTTACATAATTTCTTCGCAACTAATGATTTATTGAATTATTTATGCAGTTAACAGACCCGCCTGATCTTGATGGAAAAGAATATGCATATGTTTCATGCAATGGTTCTACAAATTTAGGAGTGCACATAAATGGCAATTTTTCTTTGACGAGAGATAGAATAGTTATTTTACAACCAAATGATAATATCAATGGAAAGTGGAATAAATACATTTTACTCGAAGTCCTACCATCATTGCATGTTAAATTATTGGAAAAAATTGCTGAAATAGACTATGAACATTTCAAAAAATCTAACATCAGTGCTGAAAATTTTGTTTCATGCTTAACCAAAAAATTTTGGCCATTCAGCAGAGTTAAGTCGGGTTTGTATTATAGATATGCGATAAGTGTACTACAGAACCTTAATGATA